TTCTGCATTTTAGTTGGCAAGAAATCAGCAAGTGACCTCTTGTTAAGCTCTCGGAAAGCTGGTATGGTTTGTTTGCTTGACCTTTTTCTTTCAGGAACTTGGTGTACGCATGACTGCTATGTAAGTTAGCCACTGGCCACACAAGTCTCCAGTCCTGGTGAGAACAGGAGGTCACGCTGAACCTTGCTCACCATCTCTGAGTGTAGGGGAGCACCAGTCTCATTCACTCTTCTGAATCCCTCACGTCTCACTCTCACATGGAGAGGAATCATAATTCCCACTGAGTTTTCAGAGCCATCACAGTTTGTGTTTTCCCACTACTGCACCAACCAGTGATTGTTTTAGCTGGGGCTGAGAGCCCTTCCTCTGTTTCTTCTGGTGCCTCTTCCTACCTCACACCACCCTTTGCAGGAAACTAGAAGACCCTGAAACCAGGATAGCTTTTACCACCCAGTAAGGAAGCATTGAACCAAGGGGCTCCAGCTGGTGGCTTACCTTGAAGTCGTGTGATGCTATGAGCTCCTTACAGACGGGGAGGTTTGGCTGTGGCCTGCCTGGACTGTGCTCCGGTGGGAGTTTCCCTGGGGAGTTACCGGCCCAGCAGAGGCTCGCCTGCCCGGCCCTGTCCTGCCTCCCCTGGACTACTTCCCACCCAAACCCTCTCGCCGAGGGCCAGCAGTGCTCCCTGCCAGGCCGCCTGTCCCAGGCGCAGCCGCAGCCCTGCACCCTGCACCAGGCGGCCCCTGGGAACTCCCTGCCCGGGCTTCCTCCAGCAAAGCTGCCCTCAGACCCTGCCCTGGAAAGTCCACCCCTCTTCTGCCAGTCTGCCCCGGTTGTGGTTTTTTCCCCTCCACAATTTTACTGAGATTTCTTACTTTCAAACCCATTTGTCTGTTGCTACTTTCTGTTTTAACAGGTTGCTGCTGGCTGAACCCATGGGCACAAAGGCGACCGAAGCACTTACCTGGCGCTACGGCATGTTTTCGGTCGAAGTGGGGTGGGAATTCAGGAAGGATATTTGACCAGGCATTGCCAAAGCTACGATTCGTCAATTTGTAATTTTAACACTCCATGGTAAGTTTGTTGTTTAAAACCGTATATGGGAAATCTGACCTGTAATTTTCCCCCGTCCTTGATCAACATGCCAGTGTGCTGCTGTGAAGTGAAATAGTCTAGGCTGACGGATGAGAATTTTCCCCCAAGGGCATTGCGTTAAGAACGCAACAGTGCTGATTTAGCAAGGAAATAAATCTTGAAATGTATGAGTGCTGCTGTGTACATCCTTTTATGGCACTTGGGAAAGAAATTAAAATAATTTCAAAATACAGAAGCCTCCATTCTACAGTTCTTTAGCGTTTTAACATTGGTGTGTACCTTGAAATGAGCGACTATGTGCTGGAGGATAGAGCTGTGGTTTTGTAACAGCTGTAACTCGAAACATCTCAACTTCCTGCCTTTGTAGTCCCTCGCAGGTGGAGCTCTCCATAAACAGAGATCTTGATGCAGCGAAGGGAGGATGAAAGCCAGGCAGATACCAGCGGAGGGCTGGGAGTTCCCAGCACTAGTAGCGCAGGTGTAGTTATTGCTAAATCCCTGTTTTGTTTATTAATAACAATTCAGTGTAACAGTATTTTAGTAAGAACGTCTCTCCTAACGGTTCAAACTCACAACCCTCTCTCCACACGGCCACTTTTGAATGCTGTCCTACCGTCAGGAGGTCCAAGGAACTAACAGGGCTCCTGCGCTTGAATTTACCCAGCAAGTCATGCTGTCTCTGGAGGTGGGTTTTCCCCGCCTAGGTACTTGTAGCAGAAACTCGAGACTCCAGACTTTGCAAATGACATTGCACACACCCGAGGGGATTACAGCAGCTGCATTGCAACTTCGAAGATAAATGAGAACCGAGTTTTCTTGCCAAGCTGTACTAGCTTTGGGTAGCAAGTATTGGTACAGGAGCCGGCTTCCTCACGAGTGCCTGGTACGCGCAGATATGCTGACCTAAGGCATGCGAGGCACCGAATGAAGCTTTGCGATCAATCCTCCCGCTCCTGAGGAAGAAGTGTAAAGGACACAAGCTCCAGTTGTTCCCACGAACTATTTTGCTGGGGTTTTTTTGTTTTGGGGTTTTGTTTTTTCGCCACTGCCATCCATTACAAGAGTCAGACAAAGCTTCTTAGGAGAAAGAACAGCACTTTGGCAAGCAAGACCTGACTCTTTCTGCAGTATGGCTACACGGCATGTGGAGTTCAGGATTGCCTTTTGCTTCTTTTACACTCTTCACAGCTCTTGGCAGCTCCCGTGGATCGGACACAGTACTTCTTGCAAGCAGCAGCGTACTGGAACTGCAAACATTGAGCAACACACACTGCAGCAGTTTGGGATGATAAAGCAAAACTTTTCTAGCATAGCATGATTGACTCCATTTCAGACGAGGCTTCTGAAGAAAGCTGCCTGTGAACACATCAAAGCTATTCTTACCTTGGTTTGCATCCCGTTAGATCTTACATACGAACCAAGCGAGGCTTTTGGTGATTTGCAACGTTCAGAAGAGGTGACCCGGTACTCAATTCTCAGAAGAGGTAATAGCATTCCCTTAAAACCCTGCTGGCTGTGGAACACACCGACATACCGCTCTCGCCCCTCCGGACTGGAAAAAGCCATTCGCCTCTGCTCGCGCGCCGGGCTCTCCTTCGCCAGCACGGAACCAGGCTCCCAGCGCCCTCGGATGCCACCGGCACTTGCCAGACTCCTGCCTGGACCCGTACCCCGCGCGCCTGCCCCGTCCTCTGCACAGCTTTTCAAGGCGAGGCGGGAGGTGTTTACAGGAGCCACAGGCCTGAATTCCACCTACGCCATAACCTGTCAAACCCCACCTTGATGAGAGTTCTAACTACTGGAATTATTTTTATTAGGGATGTCTAATTACGCAGCCAATTTAATTACAAGGACCCGAAGTGAACGCTTGCCTATTTTAACAGCTTGATCTTGCTGAATGCTTTAGATCAGATGCCTGCATTAACATCCATTTATATTAATTTACAAGCCATTTCAGCCAGCTGCCAGAGGATGATGGATTAGATGTTACAAACACGATTCTGTTAGCGCAGAAGAAAGTAATCTTGGGAAGCAAGGAAGGTTTGCTTTAGCACTGTTGTACCCCAGTATGCTGACGGACCTGTTCCTTCCTGGAAACGGCACACAGGGACAACACAACCTTCCTTCGGAACTTTTATCGTCACTGAAAGTGAATTCAGTAGCACCAACTTGCAGAGAGATGAAATCTTCATCTTTAAAAGGGTGAGTTATCTTCTGCCTAATGCGCTTGACATCGAGATAAACAGCTCTTGTATTCAGAATTCATTGCCTAGTTGCCAGCCACCTCCCCCCTTCCCTGATCAGCAGCGTTTCAGAATTAGCCCAAAATCATTTTAGGTCCAGGGCCTCAAGCTTCTATCCCTGATGAACAGTCTTGACAACAAGAGACACTACTCTGCAACAATGTTTTAAATAGCAATAAATTCATTTCAAAAGGTCATAGTTAAGTGGCTTCAGTTTGCGCTTGCTAGAATAGAGCCCCATGGATTACAGAGAGCTTTGGTCTGACCCCAGCACTGCCTTACATCCTTCAGCCTACTGGCGGGGGGTACGCCAGAGGACCGTGCTGGAAGCACTCAAGCACCAGCTCTTCAAGAATGTGAAAGTCAAGTCATGAGTTAGTAAATATGAATAGCTTCAGTCAAAAAAAGAGATGCCAACACATCTGTAATTAAGAACTTTCCTAGACAGGATTGCTGAAACTCAAGTCTCCACTCACAAGCTGCATTTTTTCCTTTCTTTCACCTTGCTAGAATATATTCCATATACTTGGGGCAGTTTAATGTAGGGAAGTTCTTCACAAAGTTAATTCTGAAGGCTATTTTACTGTTGGAATGGCAGCTGTTCCGAAGTACACTGCCTGAACAAAGGTGGTTATACCACACCAGTTTTCTTCCCTCCCTTGAAATTTGCAGGCACCTGAGGAAACTTCATTCCCCTCTTAAAACATGACCCAACATTCAGGATGACAAGCATGAAAATACTTCATACTGTATTTTCTCTTCAGTAATGCCTCAGATGAATTTCAGAACAAAAAGAAAGTCTTATCAGTAACACAAAGCAGATTTTTAAAGTCCTTTATTAATCCGCATATAAAAAGACAGAAGTTGCCTACGATATAGGACAAAGCTCTTGCTTCATGAGGAAACAAAATTTTCTTTACAAAGTGAAAAAATAAATACCCTCTTAGAGTAAGGTTTATATGCTAATGTGTCATAAAAAAGTAGTTTTAATATTTTGACAAAATGTCTGTGCAAAGAAACAGATGCATAAACACACATTACTGCTACATTAAGGCAATATGAAAAGTATAGTCAGAAAATTTCAGTAAAGTGACAGTGTACTTTTCTAGCTTTGATTAAGCCAGTATTGCACCCAAACACGGCCTCCAGTTCCCTCTGTACCCTGGAGAATACACTAGGAAACCAGAGCTCAAAATGCCCAAGGAGGGGGGGTGGAAACTAAAAACATTTTAGCAGGAAATGACCTACCCAATGAAGATGTTAACTGAAGAAAGCATTTAAAATCATACACAACCCTTATTTTACAAACTAACAGTAGATGTTTAATAATTTAAAATCAGCCTCCAAAAATAGAGCCCACTGAAAGGGCAGCCGACTGCAGCTCCCAAGACCACCAGCCAAGCTGGATGTGGGAAACCTGGGAGCAACCCTGCCCACTGGGAGTTGTGAATGAAGTCCCATAACAGCGCTTCCACAGGTCATTGCCAGCTAGGCGACTTTCCTGACCCACCCTCAGCACTTTCAGATTAACAAACTTGTCCTACCCTTCCAAAGCTATTCTCTCAGAATTGTTTTCTATTTAACAGAATTCTGAATTAAACTCAGCTGCTTGATGAAGCTTTGTAACTTTAAGAACCAATTTTTTTTTAAAAGAAGTTCTCTTTAAAGCAATTTACTAAAAGCAGAAACTATGAGCCATACTAAACTGATATTTGTAAAAGCTAGTCTTGCTATTAAAATAAATGGAGTGACCGTACTAAAAAGGATTTAGAGAGTGTAAAACAAAAGGCTGCGTTGCTCTTGCTGGGTATATCAATATGTGTACACCACATTTCTCCAGGGTCACCTAGCTTTTTGGCAACGCCACCATGCTACAAGCTTATGCATCATTCTCCTTTTAAGTAACATGAATTGATTACACTTCTGCTCTCAAAAGATGTCCCAAACCATTTTGGACATGCTGAACAAAGAATGTTTATGTTCAAAAATGCAGTATTTTTGCTTCTGATCCTAGATAGGTGCCAGAGCGATTGCCTTCTTCACAATCAATGGTTGCATTTCGTATTAGTGCAGTTTAAAAAGTACATGATGGGTTTAAAGTGTACACGTAGATCATATCACAGTCAGATTGAGAAGACTGGTGTGGGTGGGCAAGTACACATGCTGGACATGCTCTACACGAGATCTGCAAACAGGACACGACTGGAAAGGAAGAACATTCGGAAGTTAGTTTACTTCATATTTTGAGACTCTCTACACTTATGGAGATTACACAAAAGTACTCTGTTACTGTGTACAGGGAGGGAAGTCTCCAATATTTAAAACAGGCTACCGTGAGAAACATGCAGCTAATTCTTACCCTCACCCCAAGTGAAGTCTGCACAGCTAAAACTTATCTTTCGAACACATCATCTAAACAGAATGTTCTTTGGAATTATTTTACCACAAACAAAATTATAAAAATAACTTCTCCTTGAATATCAACAAACATATTAATCCATGACTGTCAAGTATAAGGAAAACCAAAGCTTCCACATATTTGCTAACTCGCGTCTTAATGGCATTGCAATTACCTGTAATTGGGCAGCACAGGTCTTGCAGCATACTGTGTGGCCACAGGGACAAAAGGTCGAATTTATTTCTTCTTCACAACACACCATACAAAGCATGGACTCCTTTAGCTTCCGCAGCTTCTCTTGCAGAGCTTTTGTTTGTTGGCAGCTAAGACCCTCACAATTGTCACAGTTCATGCTGCTTTCCGAAGACTTAAGGGGGGAACTTGGTGGGGTTTGGTCACTTCTTGACACAAGATCCACAATGCCAGCATTATAAAGAGCTCGCCTTGCATGATCATAAACTTCTTTTGATGTTCTTTTAATGTCAAAGACGTATTTTTTACCAAGATTAATGTTTTCATTCAGGAATAGAGATGCCAGGTGGCCCTTTAAGTCTCGACTATACTGCATCATGACAGCACTGGTGACAGTGTCACACCTATAAAACAATACGACAAATGCAAACTTGGTAAGTTAATAACAGTAAACCCATCTCTACAATAATTTGTTCCAAAGGTGAAGTAACAGCACTGAAATTAAAGCAAAAAGAGCAGCCTGAGGTAATATTTTAAGTTCTTGAATGCTGTTTGCATGACAACTCTACTTTGAAAAGTTTAAAATGGAAAAGTGACAGTTATTTTACATCTTCAAAAATGTGAAGTGTCTGGTAAAATGGAGTTCAGGCTGTGGAAGGGACTTAAGGCATTATGCTAATATAAACAGCCAACGCTTGTTTAATCCACAGTTCAGCTTGGCAACACCTCTTCACATGGTAATTTCCAAACACTGTATTAAAGAATTCCAATTAATAGCCTTTGGCATAACACCTCTTTCTTTAGACAGGCTCTCAAAAATTTTTAGCGTAGAGTCAAGTAATGTCTTTAACCAAATTTCCACTCAGTACTTTATATATTAATATTATATCTGAGGGGAACCAGTGTGAATGCAGTGTAGAGAATTAAGCCATTTGTATTTGCCACTGAGTATTTCAGCTACCCTAACCATGCTTGTCACATATTTCAGTGATATAGTTAAATCTGCAGAAGCCTATAGAGGCATATCGCTTCTCTAGACGACGTAGGAAAGAAAACACAAACACAAAACACAAGGACTACAGCCTCACCAGGCCTAAGGTCCAAGATCTAAGCTTATGGCCAAATGCTATTGCCTAGCTAAAATTCTGCTCAAATTAAAATCAGAAACTGTGAAGGACAGCAAAAGGTACAAGCAGAGACAAAGTTCAAAAAGTTAAGACAGACTAAAGAGGTTATATAATGTTTTAATTGCCCAGAAAAAAGTATGAAGAGCGCAAAACAGCAGTGCAAGGGCATATAATTACAGAGCAGAACACGACATGCTTACCATCAGGCTCACAAAATAAGCAGTGGTTAGCTGTAATTAGCTGCAGTGGTTAGAAAGGCAACCAGTTGATGTTAATTGCTTTAACTGTATTAAAATTATCTAATTTGAGAAGCTGGACAGGTCTTTGCCTAGTGTATGTACTTTCCTCTGCTTTACGTCCAATTCTTCTCTTACAAAGTAACTAACTGAAACTGGTATGCGGTAGCGGTGTTTTCTCTAAATTAACTGTCTTTGACAGTTCTACTGATGAGTGTTGGACCTCACGGTAGGAATGAAAAGGGGGTTAAAAAAAAATCAGTCATCAACAAATGAGTATAGCATCCCTATCTCAAAGGATGGATAGCTGCTGGCATGAAACAAAATCCTGGGCACGTAAGCAAGGACACAGGAATTGTAGGAAGATTTTAAATACGTGGGCTGGGAAGGTGGCATACAGATAACTTCTAGCAACTGGAGGAGCCAGATGAAGGAGAAACAAGGAGTACACGTGCATACAAGCTACACCTACATATTCTGAAAGACAAGATCTTCTCCTTTGCTTTCTCATACTCCCTCTTAACACAGGGACAAAAAAATGCATCTATTGTTTATGAAGTATCAAAAAACACAGTAAGTTTATGTTCTGAAGTGCTGTTATTCATAGTGGTAGACTGAGAAATTTTGCTTGTCTTGTACTCCCACCCCACAAAATGGAAAGGAGCAAAAACCTGTTCAGCTTCTGGACTTAAGAGAAAAGTGGAGGCTGCAAAGAACAAAATTGTGCAGAGAATTTCTGAAGTGCAGTCAGACTGCTGGTTGCTTAAGCACTTAATTCAAATACTGTGGAGAAGAGCAGCAGCAGTTGACTCTAGTAGCAATACTGACCTGTAAAACGCATGCGTCTCTGTAATTGCTCTATAGAGTCCACTTGCTGCCCTTGTACTGATCATCTTAAACAACAAAACTACACTATTACCAGACTCCTTGGTAACAGTCAGATATACATTCTTCCCAGACTGAGTCGCCATTTGAACAACAGGATAAGCAATCCTATAAATGAATACAAAAGAAAGGTTATTTAGCTTTTAAGGATAAGGGCATTTTCCACAAACTACTACAGTGCACTTTCATCAGAAGTTACAATGATCTCCGACTGTTGTCTGTAATGCTGGATTGAAGATGCAGCCTTAAAAATACACATAAAATCAAGAATATTAAGGCCAGTTGTCATCTTGATTATAAGCAGGTAGCATCCTCAGACCCTACATTTCAATAACTCCTTTTAGTTTTGAATATTTATGTAAAAACTAGAGACATGCTGAGTACTTCTGAAAAATGGAAGATGAAAATGGTTCCACAAAACACATACCTGTTGATAGGACTCAAGTCATCTTTACAAATGGATATGCCTTCAGGTCCAACACCAATAAGGAGTTTTTGCCCTTCACTGTCTCTCACTGAGTGCCACTCTACCCCATAGTTCTCCAGCGTTGTAACAATCTGTAGAATCTGGTATTCAGCAGAAGCTTGACTTAGACCTTCTAGCTCCTTGTGCTTTGCAATAATGCTGTTGATAAAAAGATTAAGGAGAGGTGAAATAACTCAAGTATGTGCTGTTACTGTCAGCAGCTTGTTTTAACATGGGTTTTTAGATGACCTAGTTAAACAGATTATTAAATGCTCCTGACCTGCTTTATCTGGCTATGGATTTCCAGTAATCACGAACTGGAAAGAATTGAGAATTACCAAAACATCCCAAGAATGTTCAGGAGACAATACTGTGCATTTGCTTAGAAGTTAAAAAGCTACATGTAATCCAGGCTTTCCAACTAACACCCCACCGCAACATATTCACCTGAACAACCACTAAGTTCATAACTAAAAAAAAAAAATCTACAGAAAAGCATGACACCGAAAGTTTCTTGATACTCAGGCATTGAGCTATGAACGTGTTTCGGGAATCCTGTTTACTTCACTGTAAGGGTCCTAAGCCAGATAAATTCTTGTTACTTTCTTTCACAAGTGTAGGTCTAAGACATACTTGCAATTTGATTACCCTGCTCTAAGTATTTAGATACCTGTATTTCCCCAAGTACTACAGTTCAACAGCTTCTGCTTTTCAGAAAAAAATACTCATAATTGAGCTTAAAAATGAACTGAAATCAGAACATTAGTTAAACATTCAGGTTGTATTTTGGTCCCCAAAGCTATCTAAATTATTATTTTTTTTAACAACACAAGATACATTATAGCATCAGCAATCAAGGACATAAAAATCTTATGCTTTTGGTCTCCAAAAAGGAGGTTATATCATTGTGCTCTTTTTACCTCTCCAAAATGGTAGTGGTGAGCTCTTTTGCACACAACTCTTCATAATTGTACTTGGCAGTGTTCTGGTTATAATCTCCAAACTTCATCTGTGCCAACAATGCACTAAGCTCAATTGCATGCTCTGAAGAACACTGAAGATTACCAGCGAGAAGATCTTCTTTTATATGCAAGAAAAACATATGCCTGCAATGAAATCAGAAATGTTTGCTTACACAAGATGTTAAAAGATGTTTGTAATCAAGATATGTATCAAATAACATCTCAGATATGTTAGGTAATCGTTACTTGGGCAATCAAGAATTTGCAATGAACGTACCAACTAGAGAAAGTTTGGCACAAGGGCAAGAAAAGGGCCTCCATCTTAGTATTCACTTATACTTAAAGATGAAGACAGTATTAAATGCACTACTAAAAGAAATGAGTACTTTAAGACTATGTTCTTAAGATTAAGAACTGCTTTAATTCCTAAGGCCAATTAGTACTTTCAATTTAGTGAGTAAAATACCAATGAAATATATTTGGATTAGTTTCCTATGTTTAAATTTCTTTGGTTGCCATTTACAAATTATTCTGCATTTCAGAAAAGCAAATTTGTGAAGAGCAGCCCAAAACAGCATACACACATCTATCATGCAACAGGAGAAGCCACACTTTCTCTACACAGCCAAAATGCCCCTGCCACCACAGTCAAAGGGGAGGTGGTGCTTTTGCCAGTGACATGTTTCCAGTTATTCTGTTAATCATCTGAAAAAGCATTGTGGAATAAGATACAAAAACATCCATTATGTAAGCATATTTGTCAGACCAACCTTTACACTTCGGATCAAGGCAGGTTTGACACCTAGCTGGAAAATTCACAAAGCTGCTCTTAATTATCTAATACATCAGTTAATTAGAAAAATCAAAATCTCCACCAACACTAACAGCAGCCTGCTAATTTCCCCTATAGTCTACCTTAACTTCTATAAATTCATCCTTATCTCCCCCCCTCTGGGAAGACAATAAATTTCTTAGCATTTGTTCTTAAGACTCAAGATATTTATGGAAACCACATGCAGAAGTAGTTACGTATCACTGAAAAAAATATTTCAATAAACGAAGCCTAGTACCCACAGGGATGTGTCTTACCTTCCACAGTAATGGGACATTTACATTTTACTTTTTCTAAAATTAAGTGTAATCTACTTTTCTTAAAAAGCTATATTGAATCACTCATCACTGAAGTTCAAGACGCTAGTAAGTGATTAGCTTTCCTTCCAACAGCAATTTTGGATAATACCTTATGTATATCCTGTTGTCGCGCCCTACAATTCCATGTACAACAGGGCAAATGCGGCTACTTTTTCACCACTGTGAGCAATTACGTAACTTGCAAAATTTGTGTTCATTCTTAGCTCTACCACAGTAAATGCTGCAGCTAAGAAAATACTGGCCCAAAAGATGCCCCGTATCCAGAACTTTTGCAATCAGGAAAAAAGTAGGCATTAAATTATCCCGTATTTTTACAAGGGAGCATAGTGATAGGACAAGGGGTAATGGCTTTAAACTGAAAGAGGGTAGATACAGACTGGATATAAGGAAGCAGTTCTTCACCATGAGGATGGTGAGGCACTGGAACAGGTTGCCCAGAGAAGTTGTGAATGCCCCCTCCCTGGAAGCATTCAAGGCCAGGCTGGATGGGGCTCTGAGCAACTGGGTCTAGTGAAAGATGTCCCTGCCCACGGCAGGGGGGCTGGAATCAGGTGATCTTTAAGGTCCCTTCCAACCCAACCCATTCTGTGATTGTATGATAAGCTGCCCTACAATCCATTTCCTGCAGCAAGTCACAGCTCCAACACCTCCTTTTACAAGCAGTTTGAAGCATGCTAGAGCTTCATTGCAGTTGTGACACAAGTGCTTAACTGCATCACTCTGATGTCTAGACATCAGTCTACACTTCAGCAGTTCTAGTGGGGGTCTGGTAGAAGCCAACATCCTCACTCTGTGCAGGGTACAAGTTTAGGCAGTAAGAGGATCAGAACTTTGGACAGGACAGTTGTCTCCGCTGTTAGCAGGTTATTCCTTGCTTAGGCTTTTCTTGGAGCAAGTCCCAAACCTCTGCTCCAATCCCTTTCTCCTACCTTGCTAACTCATAACTCGTTTGGCTTAGGCCACAAAAAGGTTTATCTGTGGCTTTTAAAATGCATAGGTTGTATATACTCCTTTTAGGGCTCAGTCCATAAATCCAGACAAAGTATTTGATAAATTACTGAAGTGCTACAGTCAAAATAAATTCAAATAGTAGACATTTCCCTAATTCCAATCAATATTTCATAAAATAAATGGCTTTTCATGCACTTCTGATCCTCTGTAATACCAGAACAGGTTTTCCAGTCATTGTAACTACGTACTAATTACACATACGGTATTTCAAAGAAATATCTGACAATTTTCTTTTCATTAGCTGACAGGTGTTTACAACTACCACACCTAGATGCTTGTATCTTCAGTTTACTTTACACATATGACAGCACTGACCATAGAGGGAAAAATCAGTCTCCTCCCCTTGCTGGGAAGACCTTATTGATATCAAGAGGGGAGCTGAAAAGCAGAAGATCACTCCTGCAAATTCAGATGCATTACAGAAACTACAGCAGAGGCATGGCTTGTCACATTCCATTACTAAAAAGCCAGTAATGGCATAGGTAGACAAATGAGTTTAAGGTACAAGGTGAAACAGCATCACAACAGCTAACATGCAGTAACTTCCCATAACTGGCTCCTATCACATAAAGGAAAACATCTCAGAGACTAAGCTACTTTGCATTTTTCTGTTAAAGGGGATAAAGGCATGGCATGTGTAAGGGACCGTTATTGCAAAGTAACTAAAGCTCTGCAAGTTCATGCCCTGGCTTACACTATGGTAAGCTATTTTGTTGAGTCAGAGAAAACAAACACCCATACTTAGCAGCCCATCTCACAAAGTCATTGGTCTGCACCTAAAAACTCCATTGCTGGCCCAAGCCCATAGCCTGAACAGCACATGTAACAGGTCAGAAGCTAGTTAACACAGGGCCTGACAGTGAAATTAGGTTTTGAGTGACAGTGAATGACTTCATACCAGTCTGCTACAGCAGATGCCCTGAACCAAGTAGCAAATTCACTGGGTTTTTTTTTTTTTAATCGAGTCCTTAAGTGTGTTTGAAGAAGGAAAAGCATCTAGAAATTGAAAGACAGCAAGGGTTACAAACATTTTGTACATCGGAAAGTGATTCTGATTAGTGCAGATTCTGCTTAGCCCATCCAGCCTTCCCAAGATTGCACTTCTCCAAAGTTATATAATATCCATTGCAAAATCATCCCCTTCGAGGTTCAAAACATGACACTAGCCAGAATCTGATTATAAAAGATTTTTTTTAGTTTTGTGTAAAAAGAAACAAAGAAAAGTCTTTTGATCCTTAGAACGGCAAAAGAATGCGCTTTTTTTGCTGAATACAGTCGAGCGAAACTAAAGCATTAGGAGCCTTGAGGCAGTTCCTTATCCAACTCTGCAAAATCTAAAGGACCCAGCAGATCATCTGCAGAAAACCCGGCCATATTACAGATTCTATTTAGTTACCAGAAAGTGTTTAAGTTTTTGTAAATGAGATTGTGACCTAATCACTAATAGCACTTAATCCACCATCCCTCCTCTCTCTAGGAATATCTAGAGACGATGAAAAAATTGTTCAAGCTTTTCCCACCTCTTAAGATACTCAGGTTGTGCAGTAAAAGGATACTTAGTTTTTCACAGAGTTATTTCAGTGTTAGTATTTTATGCTTAATGGAATTTTTACCAAGCAAGTTTTAAAACAATGAACTGTTTTAAAACTGAACTGTTTATAATTGAAGTCCTCTAAAGGTTACATTTCCAACATTGCTGGTAGCATATCTTAGTTTGACCGCCATATAAGAAATTAGTTGTTTTTGTTTCTGCATCATTCACCACTTCAGTTATGCATGACACATTAATATTACCTGTCATAAATTTGACAGGTAACTCAAGTCAGACAAAAGCCATGTTTCCTACCCCACCGCCCCAATATTCTCTTAGCACATTCTGCAGCTTTGTTACTACTCTTGCCAAAGTTTCATTTCACCTTGAAATCTTCATAGAAAACAAGTCTTCACAACTCTGAACTTTACCAATCAATTATTGTGGCTCCTAGTCATCTTAACATCTGCCAGACATGTTGGGACATCGAACAACTAGTGGCAGCTTTAAGAACAAACAGAACTTTCCATTGCACTTGTAGCCCGAGTCCTACACATGACAGCATCAGTACAAAAGACAGTCTATAGAACCTAAACCAGCCTTAGTTCCCCCTTCCCAAACCTCATGCTAGCTAGATAGTCCTGTATATTCAATTAGAGAACATTTCCTTTGAGTTTCTTAGATCAAAACAGTATGTAGAAATACTGATTAGAGGACAAAGCCTCAAGTTTGCCAAAGCTATACTTCATTAGTCACTGCCCAGGCAGAATTTCTTCCTTTCCGAAGGAAGAAAAGGCAGTTTTAGAATTAGAACAGGGTCACATGCTTTCTTCAAGCACTAGTTACATTGGTGATTTTATATTGATTTTGTATCCTTATTTTGCCCTGGTGCTTTTCATACAATTTAAGTTCTATGTGAATATTAAAGCACTCAGTAAAATCAAATGTACAGTGTGATTAATGTATTTTAGTTGCACGTAAGTAATTTGATACAAATGCTGTAGAAAGGGGAAGCTGCAAGGAGATTGCAGCAGATGGCCCATTTTACAAAAAACTACAGCTACCGAAGTCACAAACCTAGATATCACATCAATTGCTTTTTGCCTCCCTCTGAAGCAATTTATGCAGGCTGACTTATACTGAACACCACTACCAGAAACGGATGTCAGTATTTCACTACAGGAGGCAAATGACTTAAGTTATTGCCAACCGAATTGGTAGTAACAGCCCCACGAAATAAGCGCTATTAGAAGTGTAGAGTATACATAATACAAGATTAACTTCTCATTCTTAACTCACTGCAGACAATTATGTGCATCAGGATTCAAAGTCCTCCACTGAAAACTTGTTTCTACTACTTTAATCGAAGAAAGGAAAACAGGCTAAACAGAAATGTAAAGTCTATATTAAAAGTTTTAAGCTCTAAACTTAAGCTAGTGGAAAAAGTTAC